TGAAACACAGCTAAACGTGTACGAAGATTGGATCAAAATGGAATTTTTTCTTGTGTCGTTGATCTGAACAATCTGAATAGAGTTCATACTCCAATCTAACCCAACCAAACTTTATCCTCTATTTTTGAATTGGGTTGAGTTGAGTGGTCGAAGCGTTGTAGGTGTATTCTTAAAAAAATATGTAAAGGGTGAAAATGGAGAAATTATTAAAAATTGGGAATAAGGATTTGGGCTCACAGATGGAGAAATTATGGGCCTGAGGCCTCGTTCAATGTAGAAAAGTTCTGGGAAAGGCCCATATCCCCACGGATACGGTCACGTTATCTACGTTTCTTACTTCTTAAGAGTGAACAATATCTCCACAAATCAACACGAGTTCTTCTAACATATTTTTTCCTCACTTACATGCATCTCAGGAGAATTTCCAAAAAGTTGGCAAACGTAGAATTATTTCAACCAAAGCACGCTTGTGAGGGTAGGCAATAGCTTTAATTTTTCTTTTAAGTTTTTCTTAATCATCCTATCCCTCTAGGATCACTCTTATTCGAATGTGATCTCGGTTCATTTATGTACTCTTCCTTTGCTAAGATGTCACATGCTTACCAATTTTCACCCTTTTTCGTCCTCAAACCAAATTTTACTGGGAGAGATATGGCTCTGATGCTGAGATTGGACATTTGATGGCCCCACATTTCACCTTTCTCCCTTTTAACAAATAAACAAACATGAGTTTTTCTAGCATGCTTTGTTCTCACTCACATGCATCCGAGAAGAATTTTCCAGAGGTTACCCAAACATAAAATTGCTACAAGCAAAACACATTTAACCATAAAGTTCTTATATTGAGTCATCGAAAAGGGAAGTGCACCTTGTGAATATATGAACTAACTTTCCTTTCTTAGGGTCAATCTCATTCGAATATGATTTTGGTTCATTCATATATCCCTCTTCACTCCGTGTGACAAAATAAGAATATGAAAGAAAAATTTCAATATTTCTTAGAAACTAGGTTTAAAATCTAATATTGTCACTTATCGTTAACTTAAAAGGAAAAATAATTATTTTGGTCACGGTTAAATAAATAACTTAACATTAAATATATATTTTACCTTTTAATTTTACCTCTAAACTTAAAACTCTCTCTTTCAATAAATTAGTAATTAAATTTTATTTATAGCTTTATCGCCTATATTTAATAATAAGAAAAAAAGTAAAAAAAATCTCTTTTAACACTAATTTAATCCAGAAAATAAAGGAAGGATAGAAATTCTTGAACAATATATAGATTTGAAGAAATATTAGTCAACAAGTGATCAAGTGTTGAAAACTAAATTCAAAGTTCTGTTGAAGATAATGCAAATACGTGCACGAGATCCACCAGAAAGTTTTTTGTTCCATTGAAGTGAAAGCTAAATCTTGATGCTGATTTCAGCCCAGAATTGGTTGATTTTCCGACGATTCGGCTACCCATTCCCTCCAAATCAACCAACATTGACTCAAACCGCAAATCCCATCAATCTCTTCCCCTTAATTTCATATTCAATCGATTCAATCGATTCTGCAACTGACCCCAAATGGGGTTCCTCCGCCTCTAGAATTTGATTACACATCTTCTGTTTCTAATCCAATCTTGTTCATGGCGAGGGATTCACCCGTCGCCCACGTTGAAATCAAGTGCCATTCTCTTCATGAGGACCCGGAATTTCAACCGGCGGATCAACGGCCTTTGACGGCGCCTGCCAGATTACGGCCGTCGACGAGTTTTACGGCCGGATTTGATCTGTTCCAGCCGTTTAAGAAGTGGGTTTCGTGGTTGGTGCCGATGTTTGTGGCTGCGAATTGCGTTGTGTTCTTTATTTCTATGTACGTTAACGATTGCCCTAAGAACTCTGCCTCTTGCGTCGGTAGATTTTTGGGCAGATTCTCGTTTCAGCCACTTAAAGAGAATCCCCTTCTTGGCCCTTCTTCTTCAACGTGAGTTTCTATTTCTGCCATTAGGGTTTCGTTGGGTTTCTTTGTAATTAATCTACTGTTTATCGATGGAAGATGAGTAATGATAATGAATGTGGATTCTCTCCATTGTTGCATTTGATTGTGTTATTCTCTCTGAATCTGAAATTTCTTGTTCTGTTCAAATCATCTGGGGATCATTGTGTTATGTTCTATCTAGTTTCAAAACAGTGTAGAGATGGCAATATCATTTTGTTGTTTGAATGTAATTTGTAGATGAACATGGCTGCACAAAATGATGGGTGTATCAGTAAACGTTGCTAGTTGGTGAACTTTTGTTGAGATTTCTGGTGCCATTAGGTTAGGATTATGTGGGTGAATGAATTCATCTGCTATATGATATTGCATCGGAGTTTTCATTCTCAATTGTCACTCTATTGAATTTCCATATTTCAGATTAGAAAAGATGGGTGCTCTGGAAGTTGATAAAGTGGTTTATGGGCACCAGCCATGGAGACTGATCTCTTGTATGTGGCTACATGCAGGGGTGTTCCATATACTTGCTAATATGCTCAGTCTTGTTTTCATTGGAATTCACCTCGAGCAAGAATTCGGTTTCGGTATGAACGCTATTAGTTCGAAATCGTTCTTCAAAATTCAATGCCTTATTTACCAAACAAAGAAAGCATTGATATATGTAGTTCTTGTTACCTTTGTAATGACACTCATTCAGACTATATAGTTTCTTTTCCTGATAGCAGCTTCATATTCTTATTGTAGAACAGTGATGATTTTGTTTCTGTGTTCATTTTTTCTTATCTATAGTTCGAATTGGGGTGATATACGTTGTATCCGGGTTCGGTGGGAGTTTGTTGTCGTCTCTGTTTATTCAGTCGGGTATCTCAGTAGGTGCTTCAGGTGCTCTCTTTGGTCTCCTAGGAGGCATGTTGTCGGAGCTCCTTACGAATTGGACAATATATGCAAATAAGGTAAACGAAGTTCGAAATGGAAAAGTCACTTGACAATCTATGCATTGTCTAGTAACTGACTCAAAATCTTTGATGAAGCTTGCAGCCTTGTTGACTCTCCTCTTCATCATCATAATCAATTTGGCCGTGGGAGTGCTTCCTCATGTTGATAATTATGCTCATATTGGAGGATTTATCTCGGGTTTTCTTCTCGGGTTCGTGTTTTTGGTACGCCCTCAGTTTGAATGGGTTAGCCAACGAGATGCACCTCGTAGATATAATTCAATTTCGGTATCTAAGTATAAGCCATATCAGTATGTGCTATGGATTGTGTCTCTGGTGTTACTGATTGCTTGGTAAATGCTTATTTTGCATTTCATCTGATTTGAAGTTCTTGTGTTTGAACTGCTGAATTCATATAGTTGTTTACTTCAACAGGTTTGCAGTTGGTTTGGTCTTTCTCTTTAGAGGGGAAAATTTGAACGATCACTGTTCGTGGTGCCATTATTTGAGCTGCATTCCCACATCAAAATGGAACTGCAACTCGCAGAGGTTCACTTGTGAGGTAACTAACTGCTCTTCTCTTGCCTCAAATCTGTTCAAATCCCTAGTTTACCATGAACTTTACACATGTTCTGTAGCCGAAAGTCTCGTGTCCAAAACTAATGTCAACGTCTGATCGGTTCGAGTCGTCTATACATTAGATTGAATACGAATCTCTTTTCTTTTTTCCTCTAAAACGGGTGGGTTTGCCTGTTTCGGCTCTATTGAAAAGGAGTTGGAAATCAAACCTCCTAGCGTTTTAAAAACCTTGAGAGGAAGCCCGAAAGGGAAAACTCAAAGAGGATAATATCTGCTAGCGGTGTGCTTACACAAACCTCTTAGTCATCTCGATGTTCTATGCAGTTTGAGGTGATCTTTTGTGTACATGAAATGTCAAAATCATATATCTCAACATGCCTGTTTCGGCGACACTTTTCAAATACGTTTCTGCATTTGTTTCTGAACTGTTTTTCGAAATTACGATGGATGACTCGTAAACGTTAACGTTATTGTATATAGAAAACCAATCCTTTAAAGTTCAACATCCCCCTCCCCTGCGCAAGAAAAGGAAAGAAAGCTTGACATTTCTAAACTTTGTAAACATTGTTGCAGTCGAGTCGACTGGGGAATCAGCTGAACATGACGTGCCTAAGCAACGGGAGAAGCGGCTCCTATTCGATAGCCAGTAGCTCCCCGGAGCTACAACAGATATGTTCTCAGCTCTGCAATTGATGTGTTAGTAAAAGACATAAAAGTAGATACTGATAGAGAGAGGTCTTGTGCCATGATTGTTTGATGAGCCATGTATATGCCACATTAGTAGTCTTGTCTTCTTCATACAACAAACTAGTCTAGTCTGTGCCTAGCTCAGATTATGGAATTAACACAAAAAACTTGTCTTCCTCATCTCTCAGATCTCAGAGTTCCCTGTATCTCTTTTCTTATGACAAACTTTCTTTCCCCCCCCATGAACTGTCCCACTCTTATTGTCACAACAAGGCCAAAGTCTAGCGTAGAGGTAGAGATTGTGGCTCGACATGGAAACGAGCTCAACGAGCTTGAAGACTCGGATGATAAGGCAAGGCAAGGCAAGGCGAGGGAGGAGCAAAAGGCCTTCTAAATCAATACAAAAACGACCAAGTGTTTAAAAGGTTTGATTTTTTAGAAAAGTCTAATTAGTCTAACTCAACCCAACCCATACGGTTTAAATGGATTTGGTTGGGTTGGATTAAAACGCTTTATAATGAGGTTGGTTGGTTGTTTAACTAAAACTGGATTGAGTTGGTCCAAACTAACTTTAATTTGTTGTTAATTTTAAAATATATATTTTTACCTATCATAACTTAGTTTTTTTTGGCATATATAAACAAATAAGTATTTTATGAACCAATATTTTAAAGGAATGGATTAAATTGAGTTTATTATTTAATAAAAAATTAATTGAACTAAAAAAGATTTATTAGTGTTTTTTGAAATAAAAAAAAATAGATAATTAAAAATGTATTTTAAATAAACAGTAAAATTGGAAAACTAATTTATAATTGAGAAGCAAGGAGGAAAGCATAGTCATAGCCATTACTATTAGCCCCACAGAGAGGAGTGAAGAACTCAAAATTTGAAGAAGAAGACAGATTCTGGAGAACCAGAAACCCATTTTCCACCATAAATTCTCTGTCCCTTCCAAATTCCCTCCATAACTCCGACCTGATAACATCTCCGTCTCATGTTCACGACCACCGTCCATGGCCGCCACACGCACCTCCTTCTTTCGCCATCTCACCAAACCCACCGTTTCCGAACTCACCAGAACCATTCGCTCCGCCCACCCCTTTCATCTTGTTCGATTCTCCGCCAGGACTGCCAACGACGCCCTTTCCTCTTCCGACGAACTCGTTCAAGGCCCCTCTTGCATATTCGTTGGCCCCATCGAGACCGCCAGTAAAGAAACCCTTGAGGCTCTTTACCTTCAGGTTTGTGGATTACGCCTTTCCTTTCACTTTCTTTATTCTCGACGTCTCTTCTAGGTGTTGAACTTGTTTGATTTTCATTTTGCTTAGGCTAGGGATGCGTATTACAGTGGTCAACCGTTGATCGTTGATGATATGTTCGACAGAGTCGAGGTAAGCTCGGGAAAGGGATAAGTTTCTCGTTGAATTAGTCACTCTCCTCTAATTTTTCAATTTCATTGAATCAGTTGAAACTGAGGTGGTTTGGTTCAAAATCTGTGGTCAAATATCCTCGTTGCAGTCTTAGACGCCAATCGACGTATGCGGATGCTGAGGTGATTTTTCTTCTCATTTCTTTCTTTCTTCAGCTAATGGTTCTTAGGATAAAGTTTGGTTTATCATAAAAAATTGCCTCTGTTTTCCCTTTTTGCTTGCTTCGTTTGAATATTCAATGACATGGATGTAGGGCAGGAAGATCTATCACAGGTTCTAGCATTAGCAGGCATATGGTCAGTGTTCCTGGCACTTGGCTGTTCAGCATGTCTTGTTCCCTTAATCTGCACAGCTGATTTAGTTTTCAAGGATCCACTCAGTTTAGGACTTTCGTATAATAGCCAAGGATCTGCATTTGAGTTTCTTTCAGCTATAAATGCTATCCTCTTCATAGCATTTGGGTCTCTGATCGGCTACCCAATTGCTACAGCTTCTGGTAAATTGTTGCTCCTATACATTACATGAACTGAAGAAGAGAAATCTAATTTCTTCATTAGGCTCTCATGTTCATGGTTATGCTAGCTTATTTCAGACTATTTACTGGCTTTTGGCTTGGCTATTGCTGCAGTGGGAGTACTTCAGGGCTTGTGGAGAAATGATTTGGTGGCCCTTAAAGGAGCTTGCCCAAATTGTGGAGAAGAAGTATGTTTATTCATCAATATGTTGAATAATGGCTTTGGATCCATTCCTGTATGCATTTTTTCCCTTATTGCTATATAGAGTTACCTGTTGAAATTACTCTGTTTTAGGTGTTTGCATTTGTGAGATCAGATCGTGCCAATGGCTCTCCTCATAGATCAGACTGTCATGTTTGTGAATGCTTGTTGGAATTCCGGATCAAGTTTGAGGTAACTTTGCTTTCGTTTAACTAATAATTCCTTTTCCCCGAGGAATTCAAGGTGAAAGTGATCATACTAAGAATTGGATACTTTTCCATTGAGGCATTTTTCTGAGTAGTATCTCCTTCTCCTTAGGACAGGGGAAAGGATTTTCATCCCTGAAATTTCAGTCAATTAACACTCGGTGGCTATAAAACTAATACTCCTATGTCCTTCTGGTTTACATTTGCTACCAAGAAACGTCTGAAGAGAAAGACGCTTAATCTCTGAGGTTGGTATTGTGCAGAAATCGAGCTCAAGACAAGGTCGACAATGGGTTTATGGGCGCATCTACTTCGTAAGGGGTAAAAGGAGGCGCCAAAGATAGCTGTAGGATGTCAACTCCAGACGTAAGAGCAACTTGTCTATATTCCACCACATGATTCTTGGTGATTACAAATCAAGTTAGCTGCTGCCAGTAGTTCATAATCTTTCATCATCTTCATCCAATGTGGTTTGCATATTCAATTTGTAATCTTTTATCTCCCAGCCCAAGAACTGATAGTTGGTCATAAACAATTGGAAAATTGTAGAAAACTTAAAATATTCTCATCTACTTTGATTGTTTAGAGTGCCTTCTAAATTTCTAAATCCATGTGATTTGACATTCAGATTTCTTGCATCTTCCAACTTTTGTGCAATCATATTCTCTAAAATCATTAAATATCAATGTTGACAATTGTTTGTGAAGAATCTATGTAAACCAAAGAAATTATAACTCTAAAATAAGTTATCATTTATATTCAAATAACTAAACACCCTCAAGAACAGCTTGTTGCCTAAGGCGCTGTCCCTAACACCTCTCCAGAAGTCGTGTGTGTTCGATCTTTACATGAGCTTAACAACGAACCTTCGAATGTTCAAGCCTTATGATGGGTGCAGACCCGAAAAAATAGCTAAATCTATAAACTGATTTGAATGGCGACCATATTCTTAAACGTGAACCTAATGTAGCAGAGAATAAAGGGAAAAAAGAGGAACCAACTGCATTTGTTTAAAGAATTTATTCTTTGAAGAAGATTGAATTGGGTTTAACAGAATCAATAATAACTACTAAAATTTTGTAAGTTGTAATTTTAATGAAATTAATCCAATTCTACGTCGTGGACACTTCCTTCTAAGGCAAACTATTGCACAATCACTAATAAAAAAAAGCAAGCAATAGTGGCGATAACATCCCTACCATTGCTTGGCTCGATATTGAGAACGATGACAAAACCATTGTCAGAAGTGTCCCAAGCTGTAAACGAGAGTCCACATAAGCTGAACAACAGAGAAGAGATGGAAAATGAGCACTTGAACTAACAAAAGATTCATCAGAAGACAAGGAAGTGTTAAGAGATGCCGTAAGATTACCAGAAACAGAGTTATGGAAGCAAAAAGCCCTTCCTGGAGGAGGACTCCATGACCCCCGAATTCTTCTTCGTCTACTTTCAAAATCATTGCATAGTATCCATATACCATTGTGGTTGATATCACCAAGAATCTGAAAATGAGACCAAGTTCATAAAATTGACTGAAGTTCCCAAGTGCAAGAAAAAGAAATGTTTTGCAGAGAGAACTCAAAAAATACATTATGAATATGTAACCTATGTTCAGATAATGACACTACAAGTGTAACAGCCCATGCCCACCGCTAGCTAATATTGTTCCCATTGGACTTTCCATTTCAGGCTTCCCCTCAAGATTTTTAAAACCCATTTTCTAGGGAAAGTTTTCCACACCCTTATAAAGAATGTTTCGTTCCCCTCTCCAACCGATACAAAATCTCACAATCCACCCCCTTTGGGGCCCAGCTTCCTCAATGTGAGATCCCACATTGGTTGGAGAGGGGAACAAAACATTTTTTTGTAAGGACGTGGAAACCTCTCCCTAGCAGATGCGTTTTAAAAACCTTGAGAGGAAGTTCGAAAGAGAAAGCCCAAAGAGGACAATATCTGCTAGCGGTGGACTTGGGCTGTTACAACAAGATAGTCGTTGTTGAGTCTTATCTCTTAAGAGAATACACGGAGCCATGCAATTAGGGATGCTAACATATTGGACTAAAGATTCATTTTTTGAGTTCAACAATGTTCGGCAGTGGGGAGCTTACAATTTTTGACCTCTTGATCAAGGGTAAACATATGTCTCAACCATTTCATTTTAAAGAACTAGCCAACTTACTGAAAAAGATCAAGATGTTGAGTCAAAAGGATCTGTGAATAACTAATGAAGGTAGAAGGAACAAACACACAAACAGTCGAAGAAGACTAAATACACCCCAAAGGTACTAATAGTGTGTCTGGTGTTCAGAACTCAAGACCAAAAGTGTTCTTGATTGGCTAAACCATTTTCAATATTTTCATGATGTTCAGTTCTAAGAGAACACTTGGAAAGCACTTTAAAATGCTTGGAATGACTTAATTAGTAAGTGTTAATAAGGGAAGTTTCATTCAGAAACAAGTGTCCAAAAGAGGTAAATGGCAACTTACAAGATGAACCAAATCCCTCCAACCAGAGGTACCGAACCCCAAAGCAGCCCACATACAAGCGCAACCGACTGTCGCATCCAATGCAAGACATCTCCCAGTTGATCCTGCGTTGACAACAATTCATAGCTAGTTTAATAAGAATTTCCCCAACCAATTGATTTCAGATACCAAGTATAAAATGATCTAATTCATCGCTACTTTTCCACTCAATCCTTGCAACAGTAGACACTACGATCATGGAAAACTATCTCAATCCGTTCATGGGTAATGCAGTCTAAAAATTCACTAAAGCAGAACAAGCAATAACTTGAACCAACAAAGACTTCATTTCGCTTGAAGTAACAGAATTCAGAAGAGAGCAGAGTTTTGAAAAAACCTTATCCCAAGAAGCCTCTGGATCGAACAAATTCGCCAATTTGAACGGCGGCAAGTGACCATTCTGATGCTGCAACTGAGAATTAACCTTAATCGACTTCCCGTCCTTCATCCCGACTATTCGGAAATCGAGAAATCGAGAGAAAATTCGAGAAAACCAGTGGAGTATGAGCTGAAATCTAGAGATAAGGATCAGAAGATGCTAGGGTTTTGGAAAAACAAGAACAGCATGAGAGAGTGGGGGAATGGAATAAACAAATTAACGAGACGGCTTTCTGTAGATCTCTTCCGATTTATTTTAATAAAAATTCGAAATCGATTCAATCTGGAATGGGAAATTGTAATTTTATGGAAACGTGAAGAACTTTTGCTTGCTGTCCATGGCAGCCTTTGTTTATTCCACAGATTCCGTGCACCGTTCATCCGGATCCGACCGGGTGTCGGGTCCGATTCCGATATTTTTCTTTTTAATATTTATTTTTCAACTTTAATTTAAATTTTCAGCAGTGCTAAATTTTAAAAAAATTGTCAACTTTTAATTTTAAATCTATTTAATTAAAATAAGAGAAATGGTTAGTAATTTAAAATTTATTGCCTACCTTTCTCATTAAGAAGAATAATTAGAAATTAATAAGTAGACCTCTAGAAGCTTCTAAATAAATGTAGAATTAATTAATTTCTTTCATTCTTAAAGAATTCCATTAATTTATATTAAATTTTTAGTTTGACTTTTGTGTACTTTCACATTTATTTGGGTATTTATATTTATAAATGTCTATTTTGTACTCATAATTATAAAACACTTATTAATATATCATTCATAATTATGGCTAATATTTTAGGTAATTACTATTTTTTAATTTTTTTAAGGAGTAGAAGTTGGAGTAAATTGTTACTGGCTGGAGCTTTAGGAACATTTTAAGGGTTAATGATAGAACAACGAGGCAATAATTGAATTTGAGGGTTAGGGTTTTGGTTTTTTTTTGTTTTGCAATCTCTAATTGAAGGTGTAGAATTGATTTGTGTAAGAAAGTTGGGATTTTTTTAGTTCTAACAAATAACACATACCCATATAAAAAGCTTGGAACTTTGCGTATGTATATGTGTGTAAAGGACATGGGAGTGGGGCAAAAGTGTAATAAAAGGGACGTTGCTTAGAGAGGCGTGGACGGCGTTGGAGGGCCAGCCAAGCCAACCAGTTGAAAGAGAAGAGGGCAGCCACTGCCAGCCACTTTCCGGTTATTTTCCCTCTGTTTTGACTTCATTTCTGGACGTTAATTCGTGATTTTGCCTTTCCAAAACCCAAAACACCGCCATTTCAATCCCCTTTTCCCCTTTTCTTCTCCCTGTTCTTTCAATCGGAGATCGATCTCTTCCTCTTCGCGATCATCGAACCCTTAATCCCTTTTTTCAATTTTCCTTCTACACCTCGCCTGCAGCCGCTTCTGATTCTTCGAACTAGCGTGTTTATCCCAAGTGGGTAGCAAAATTATGGGTACCCCTGAGAAGAATGAGAGTAAGGGTGGCTTCTTTGCTGCCATGACTTCTGGAATTTCCAAGCTTAGCAACGCCATGCACCGATCTGTTAATGGGTACTTCCTTGTTTCTGGATTGGTATCTGAATTTCTGGGTTTTTGAAGCTCTAATCGTTGTTGTTTCCGCTTCTATTGCTCTTAGTTCTTTAAATTATTGTCTCTCATCCCTGAATTTGTATGTACAATTATCTCATCGGTGTTGTGATTCGTTCTTTTGAACTAATACTGTCTATAGAAGTTCATACTTTTCTTCTCCTTGTGAATGAATCTGATCTTGGTACGTTTCCTTGATTGAGATTTTGAAGGATCAATGAAGTTTTTTCTGCTAAATATCTGTGTGCTGTGAGTTTTAGCTTCTTGATGATGACAGTGTAAGGTTTTAATTAAATTTGATCTCATAACTTGGAGAAAGGTCTTAGAGCTATTGAACCAGGTGACAGTCTCATTGCTCAATATCATCATTTCAAGGTTGAATTGCTTCGTCGTTGTTGCGCTTTCCTTGTTTTGTACGGTTTGTTATTTGGATAGTGGCTTCTATGCTCTAGACGTGTTAATCGTCCCCTTCTCCAACCGAGGTGGGATCTCACAATCCACCTCCTTCAGGACCCAGCGTCCTCAATGGCACACCGCTTGTTGTTTGGAGTTTCCCTCAAGGTTTTTAAAACATATATGCTAGGAAGAGGTTTCCACACCCTTGTAAAGAATGCGTCGTTCCCCTCTCCAACCGACATGGAATTTCACAATCCACCCTCCTTCATGGCCTAGCATCCTCGCTGGCACACCGCTCGATATTTGGGCATTCCCTCAAACACCCTTATAAAGAATGATTTGTTCCTCTCTCCCACCGATATGGGATCTCACAATCCACCCCCCTAAAAGGCCCAGCGTCCTCGTTGTCCCTCGTTCCTCTCTCCAATCGATATGGGATCTCACAATTCTTCTAGATGATTTTCGCTAGAAAGCTTGTCAATTCTTTCTTTTTCTCAACTTTCGGTCAGCTAAACTCAAAGTTATGCAACAACTATTATCAATGCCACTGTACATAAACGTCATCCCTCTCAAACCTAGTTGTGCTATTAACGTTGTTTTCTGTGGTTTTATCGGTGTGCTTTGATTGTTCTAACTCGCAAATACTTTTCTCGAGTTATATCTTTCTAGTCCCCGTATTGCATTAACACACAGTTCGTATCAATGTTAGAGAGTTCGACTCATGATTACCATGCCTCTCTCCACTCTCAGGTTTCTCGGCTACGAAGGCGTAGAAGTTATAAATCCAGAAGGAGGCAAAGAAGATGCAGAAGAGGAAGCTCAGAGAGGAAGATGGAAACAAGAGGTTGGAAGCTAGGAGTTATGTCTTCTACTCCTTGTATATTTCCATAAGTTCATTAAAAAGTTGTTTTCTTTTTGGTTTGGGTAATAAAGGATCGCGAAAATTACTGGAAGGTGATGCACAAGTATATTGGTTCGGATGTCACATCGATGGTCACTCTTCCCGTAATCATCTTTGAACCAATGACAATGATTCAGAAAATGGCTGAGGTTTGTTTTTTCTTTTGGCATTCCATTTTATGTTCTTGTTCAAACCTTTTCATATTTGAAGAATTATCACAGTTAATGGAATATTCGCACTTGTTGAATCTGGCGGATGAATCCGAGGACCCTTATATGCGGTTGGTATATGCATGTAAGTATCGAAATCTTATTATGGCTTAAAGGTCGGCCAGCCGACCGACCTACTTAGACCTATGATCATTAAGTCATGGAGGCATTATTGTTCCTCGCTTGTTGCAGCATCATGGGCTATATCAGTGTATTATGCTTATCAAAGGACTTGGAAGCCTTTTAATCCTATTCTTGGAGAGACCTATGAATTGACTAATCATAATGGGATCAGTTTTCTTTCCGAACAGGTGAATTTCGAACGTCCATTTTCCAAGTTCATCATGAGTTAGAAAGTTGTGTGCAACTATTTACGTTCTAGTTCGTTCTTGTGTGTTTTCAGGTGAGTCATCACCCCCCGATGAGTGCTGGGCACGCTGAAAACGAGCATTTTTGTTACGATGTGACTTCGAAGTTGAAAACCAAGTTCTTAGGGAACTCGCTGGATGTGTATCCTGTTGGAAGGTAAAGTTTTAATTCTAATGTTCACTTTCTCTGTCTATCCCTTCATTTCGTGCATTTTCGAACTCACTTCTAGGAGTGAAAGGAGCACGTTATACGTTATAAACTTAGGTATACTTAAGATCATTCGTTCAAACTCCCGTTCACATGCTTCAAATATTTGAATATTTTATTTGTGTAACAATCCCAGTCCACCGCTAGCAGATATTGTCTTATTTGGGCTTCATTTCAAGGTTTTTAAACGCTATCTACTAGGGAGAGGTTTCTACACCCTTATAAAGAATGCTTCGTTCCTCTCTCCAACCGATGTGGGATCCCACAATCCACCTCTCTTCGGGGCTAGCGTCCTTGCTGATACTCGTTCTCCTCTCTAATCAATGTGGGATCTTACAATCCACTCCCCCTTCGGGGTCCAACGTCCTCGCTGACACTCTTTCCCTCTCCAATCAATGTGGGATCTCTCTATCCACCCCCTTCGAGGCCCAACGTCATCGCTGACACTCGTTACCCTCTCAAAGTTAGATATCAGCCACTTACATGGGCCATCATTGCCAGTCCAATAATTTACATGGAGATTCTTATTTTTCTTTTCAATTTATCCCATATGTAGCCTCTTGAATTCCAACTGCTATCAGTAATTGCCTTTTTGTATTCAACTCCGTCCCCGATGTTTGATAATGCTAGATTAGATGATGATATGGTTTCGACGTTTGCAGAACACGGGTGACTCTCAAACGAGACGGTGTAGTATTAGATTTGGTGCCACCGCCCACTAAAGTTAACAACTTGATATTTGGAAGGACCTGGGTCGATTCACCTGGAGAGATGATAATGACCAATTTAGCTACGGGCGATAAAGTAGTACTATATTTTCAACCATGTGGATGGTTCGGGTAAGAATCGTTTTCCTATCACTCCTGATCGCGATCGTTATAGGTAGATGGCGTTGTAATCGAAAAATCTGACTGGTGTTACTGTGTTCATATGCAGAATCTTGGGTAGTTCATAAAAGTGTTTAAGATGTTTAACTTAATCCTTGATAGTAATTGACGCCACGTTCCATCTCGCCGTTAACTGTTATTTTTTATTGCAGTGCCGGGCGTTATGAAGTTGATGGTTATGTTTATAACTCGGCCGAGGAACCCAAAATTTTGATGACGGGGAAATGGAACGAGTCTATGAGTTACCAACCTTGTGATATGGAAGGGGAGCCACTTCCAAACACAGAACTAAAAGAGGTAATTTTGTTGTCTCGTGGTCGAAACTCGATTATAGCTTTCGTGTTTTGTTGTCTTATTGTATTCATTCTCTAGGTTTGGCATGTCGCTAAGACACCCGAGAACGACAAATATCAATACACACATTTTGCACATAAGATCAATAGTTTTGATACCGCCCCTAAGAAGTTGTTGGCATCGGATTCACGGTTGCGCCCTGATAGATACGCCTTAGAGAAGGGTGATCTATCCAAAGCAGGATCAGAAAAGAGCAGGTTCGTTCCTCGACCGTTCGAATCCTTTCTTTAAGCTTTCTTTCATCAATTCAAATTCTGGGTTAGGATTTCATGCATTTTTCATGTGGTCAGTTTGGAAGAGAAGCAACGAGCTGAAAAGAGAACTCGAGAGGCGAAAGGACAGAGTTACACGCCCAGATGGTTTGATTTAACCGAAGAAGTTACATCGACTCCGTGGGGCGACTTGGAAATCTACCAATATAATGGTTTATACACCAAACATCGAGCTGAGATCGATAGCTCTGGTTCAAGCAGTAACGACGAGGTTGACGCTAAATCGATTGAATTCAACCCCTGGCAATACGGGAAGTTGTCGTCGACAGATTAAAGCTCTCCTCTCCTCTCCTCCTCTTGTGTTATTTGCTTGGCTTCTTCAGATAGTTGGTGATATCTTTCAGCATCTGATATTATAGTTCTTAATGTGTTGTTTGTTTATAAATACATAGAGCTTTTACACTTTGTAACTTTGTTATCAAAATCTTTGCCACTTATTTTGATCAATCCTTCAACTTTTTCTACCAATGTTATGTTGTTCTTGGTGGTATCATTCATAATTTATGTGGTTTGCTTCTATTTCTTACTCGTATGATTAGATGAGTTTAATATGACTTCTAAATGATTTCTCATAGAACGAGAACGAGAAAAAAAATGTATATATTTCTTGGAATGGGTTGTTCGTCAAAAAGCAAATTATAGATGCTAACAAACGTTTGAACGGGGACATTAAATATTGAACCAACTTTGGCAACTTTTTCAACCTATCTTTATGACCGTGTAAGTACCAACAAACTTTATCTCGACTTTCAACACTTGTACTTTACTTTTCAACACTTGTACTATACCGAAAGACTGTTACTTAAGAACGAATTTCATTTATATAAAAACATTTGATTTATATAAAAAGAGTTATAATTGTACCCTACCAAAATTTTATTTTCTAAAAGAAAAAGGTTGATATGAAATGTGAAAAAATTGATATCTCACATCATTCTTCACTCAAACCAAATTTTACTCTTACTTCGCCATTTTTTATTTTTAAGTTACCTAATTTTGTAGGCTTCTAACTCAAGATATCTAAACCTTCGTAAACTTCAATTTTGTGAGATCCCACATCGATTGAGGAGAGAAATGATATCAATTGGAGGGAAGAACGAGTACTAACAAGGACGTTGGCCCTGAAGAACGTGGATTGTGAGATCCCACTTCGATCAGAGAAGAGAACAAAACATTTTTCTAAATGTGTAAAAATATCAGCTTAACAGACGCATTTTAAAAAACTTTGAGGGGAAACACGAGAGGATGAAGACTCAGGTTGAACGGAACCAACTCAACTTAAATTTATTATTAATTTAAAAAAAATATATACACATTTTTTTGCTTACCCTACAATTTTACATACAAATATTTATTTTATTTTTATTCGTTTTATAATTATTTTTATTATTCAACTCAACCCATTGAACAAAAATTTCAAAATTATATATTTAAATTGAATGGTAAATATTAATTAAATATTTAACCCGTACTAACACTTTACTTTTATTAAAAATAAAAACAACAACCCGAACCAACCCAACCTAAAAGATTATGATTGAGTTGAGTTAATTATTTAATAAGAGTTATTTGAGTTGAAAAAATTAATAACCTACCCAATTGTGCCAGGCCTGAAAAATGGTCTAACTAGTTTTATTTGGGTGGTTACATGTTTAAAAAAAATATAAATAATTTGGTATCTTAACCTACCTAATATTTAACTTTCCATATTATTTTTCACCTAAACTTTAGGTACCAATAATTACGTTAATTATGAGGTTATAAAGTCAATTTGCATATAAATTTAATGAACAAGACATCAATTATCATTTTAAATATCAATGGTTCAATTCTCTATTCAACCCTCGTTAAACTAAAAATAAAAGGAATGAAAATTGAATAACTCACGTTACAACATTAGTACACTCACCTGTAGCTACATCAAAAAGTTCATTTTCTTCAAGTTCGATATCAAAATAAAACAAACCTACAAATTCTGGAACGAAAATAGATTTAATTAAAATATTATTTTATTCATTCTAACTTAATTTTAAGTAAATCTTAACATGTCAACTTGTTAGGTTAATTAAAAAACATTATTATTATTAATATTTGTAATTAAATACTAACCATAAAAATTAATTTAGAATTTAGTGTGGGTGATAATGGACGTTGAGATCTTGAGGGACATCCACGTAAGATTCCTTTCAAAAGGTTGAACCTTGACTTTTCTTCTTACGTGATAAGGAAACGGTGAAAGAATAAAGAAACGATGACTTGGATTTTTATTTTTTTCCACGTCATTTTTATTTTAATTTCAACAAAAACCACCTTTCTCTCATGACTCGCCGATGTTTTCGTCATTTTGCTCTGTCTTAAACGCCGTTAACTTAGAGGCCGTCTTCTCGAATATTCGCGAAACGCCGTCATTTATTATTTTTCTTATTTAGATCTAAATTTTAATATACTAAACTATTACAATTAATTAAATAAAATCATAATCAAATAATTTCTCGGAAATAAAAGTTTATGAAAACTAAATTTAAAGAAAATGTAATAATTTTTAATTTAAGAAATTTACATGATAATATCAAACAAAAAGCGACCAATGACAGATCGGGCTTTTGCCATGTAAGATTTATTGCACATGTCCCACGCGACTAGTTGCAGGTGAAGCCACGCGCAAAAAGATAATAAATAAATCCGGAACATGCTCATCGGGATAACGGCTCGAATATAATTAATAAATTTACACGTTGAGTCAAAATTACCAAATTAACCTCTGCCTACCCATTCTTTGTTAGCCGTTCGATTTTACGGGTATCAAAAAATCTCCACCGTCCAATCCCATTCTCCTTGCAAAAAGTGTGTTCGAACTCAGATGCAAAGATATAGCAAGCGTGATCTATAACTCTTGTCAGTTTCTGTCACAAAATAAATGATATATAATAAATATTAAATACATAATACTTTTAATTTAATTCATTAATTTTATAATTCTTTTATTAAATTCTAAAAGTAAACTCTATTAATTAGTATTTTTAATATTCCATATAAATTTCAGGATCTTAATATTTTATATGTGGGGGAAAATTATTTAGCGATTTTTTTTTAATTTACTATAAAATTGAGGTAGTTTAATTTAATTATCATAATTAATGAATTATAGTATTTAAATTTAAGATACAAGAGTAAACCATTAAGAAAAATGACGTCTCCTAACTTTAATAATTATCTAAATATTAAAAAAAAGAAAAAAAAAAAGAAGAGTGAAAGTTAAACCAAAAAATAATAAATAATAATAAGTGAGCCCTTTCTGTGACTCAACGTTTTTCTCGATCGTGCGGACCGCCGGCAGCCACAAGATTTAATGAAGAGCCACGTGTCAACATCTGAAAGTGCTTTACAATATGGTGGGTTCATCTGGTAGACAAGAACCGGTCTTTAGGTGGTTTTAGTCACCGGATATAGCCGGTAAACTGATGGGGACATACCGATAGGTCTGGTGAAGAGGGTCAATGGTATAAGATAGCTGGGGTTTAAACAAATGTGCTCCGGTGGTTTTCAGAGGGTTTTGGCGATCGGAAGTTTTAGAAGTTTATATAAAAAAGAAAAAAAGAAAAATTGGTTTTCATATTTTTACGGCGAAGAAATTTTTTTAGAACTTGATTTTGGTTTGGCGTTTGGAGTTTTTAGGATTAAATTGAAAAATTATGGGATAGGAAACGAGAGAATGTGGTGAAACAAAGACGATCTTCGTTGGTTTCTCCGATTTCTTGTGGGATTTACGGATCTCTTTTTTGCTTGCAACTGGGGGTTTTCGCCGGAATTTCATTTTCCGGTGAAATTTGGAAGCTGATTGTTTCTTCAGGTGAAGCATAACATTTTTTGTTTTGGTTTTTACCCAGTTCTGTTTCGATAATTCTTATTTCCTCATCGTTTGTAATGGGGGTTTTCAGAACAGTGCATTTGGTTTTTAGACAAAAACCTTGGGATTGTTGACAGGAATTGGAAGATTTAACGTCCAATTTTGCTTCAGAATTGTCGATTATTTGCAATTTTCGGTTTCTGTTCCTTTTTTAGTATCTGATCAGTCGAATGGGGTTTTGCTTTCGCTCATTTTGTTTGATAATTATTGTTTCTCTTTTTGATTTTCCTTGTGTTGTTCTGGATTTCTTGGTGGATTCCTCATTTCTTCTTCCCTTCTTCTTCTTTCTGGCTAAATTTTTGCTTTGAGAGATTCGATCTCAGATTCTGCGCCAAATCTCTTCAGAAATTCGTGGATGATCGAGAATCTCCCCAATTTTCTGTTCCGAGTTCTTGAATTCCGATCAACCTTCAGCTGTTTGCAGATTCCTGCATAGATATAGGAAACCATCCGTTTCTCATGGATTTATGTTTCGTTGTTTTCGATCATCCACTCAAAGGTTTTCTATCTGAAAATCTTTCCTGTGTTGAGTTCATAATTTATAATGACTGCATGCCTCATCTCTGATGCTCAAGTAATATTGTTTTGCATGGGGTTTTCCTCTTTCTGGAACGTCTCTCGGTTAACCTGCTTCATCCCATCATCACTGAAGTTTGTTTAAATTTGGGTTTTAGTTTGAGCGTCAGTCTCTCTGTTGAAATTCCAAGTTCTGGGTGTGTGCATGTGCGAGAATGTGCTTTTTTGGCCTTGATTTGTGTCAATATAAGCCTTGGAATTGTGATGTTGAGGCCAGAAAATGCTTCAGAACTTTTGTTTCATTGGTTTGTTTCCAATTTGATTTCTCTAGCTTGTAAAACAGATCTAGTTTGAGTTTGGCATTGGATCCTTTGGTTTCTCTGGGCTTCTTCTTTTATTGTTTCCCAATGTGGTTTGTTGTTCTGTTCATCTGTTCATCTGTTCATCTCTTTTCCTTTACAGGAATTAATTTGTGCTGTGACTTTGTGAGCAGTAGTCACAAAGTTGAAGTGTGTTGATCTCTGTGTACTGTTCATATTTGTGCTATGACTTCTAAAATATGGTGCTTCAGAAGAGGTTAGATTATGGGTTTCATGACTACCAAGTGCCAACAATGCCTCGAGCTACCAGATCGGCGAGGGTACATGTCCTTCATAATTCTTGGTCTTTGTTCCAAATAATTTCGAGATCTCTGTCATGTTTCCTTGGATTATGATGAATTTTAATGATTTTCTATTTATTTCAGAAGAGAAGTATATGTAAAAAGGGCACTGAAGGTAGTCAAATGCGTGCGTTCGATTTGTTGGCCACTGTTGCTGACAAGTTGTTGCATGGGACAGAAGGTCCTACTACTAATACTATCGATACATCAACCGAAAAAGATAGGTACACGGTTGTGGACAAAGAATTGAATGTGGACAGTTTGTGCAAAGTAGAACCTTCTCAGGGCTTTGTCTCAGAGCTTGTTTTATCTGGTCATGATAAAAAATGTGAATCAAAGGATTGTTTTCCACAGCATAATGAGCATGTTGAACATTCGCTGCCATTAGCTTCTGAAGTAACGAATTTCGAAATGGGAAATTTAGCTAGCGAAGTACGTGTAGGCTCCCCCATTAGCAAGGAGTCCGATAACTGTGAATTGGATGGTAAGAGTGAAGTTATAGTAAAATATGAGTTGCTTAAAACTGAAGAGGTGCTTACTAGAACTCAGGATCGGGGGGATGACTCATGCAAGAGAGAGGATCCCGTTATCTGGGACCAGAAAGCTCGTGTGTTGGGAAATTCGGTTAGTTGCGGCAAGGTGATTCACAACAAACAGATTGTTCAGAACTCTTATTTTGCAACTCAGAATAATGTAAAAGTAGTTGATAGAGATGATGACGAAAACTCTTCTGGGTGTACTCACCCAGTCTCCTCAATAAAGTCCTTTAGGACAGTACCTAGTAGTAGAGACCGAAGGATAAAGAAAGTATCTGCTTCCAAATCTTGGAAAGTAGTTCCAAGATATAGGGATGAATCACTTTCTAAGACTGGTCAGTAATCTGCATTATTTTTACGTTGGGCGTTTTATGCTAAAGCACTAGTTTCGATTCTATTTCAAATAGGTTGTTTTCTTTGTTCTAGATGGCGTTTGGAAATCATTGTCGTGCTGTAAGAGCTCTCATGACAGTTGCAGACCCCAGAAATCTCAAATGAATATTCCTTTTAAAAAGAGGAAATTCTTCGACTGTAGTAGCTCAGTGTCGAATTCTGATGGTGGAGTTAACTCAGAGGGCATTTCTGATTCAAATGGGAAGGTTGCCAAGATGGATAGCTCAGGTTCGTTCTTTAGACCGATGCCTTCGCTGCATGTAGAATAGCACTCTCACGTTGTTCTTATGCAGGGAGATCGTGTTCTGTATCAGGTCACGGCCATCACAAATCTTTCCAATCCAAGGATTCTCATGGTATGAGAACTTCTGATGGATTTGCTGCACTGAATTTGTCTTGGCTTATTATTTCTGCCACTGGCACGGCGATTATACATGAAGGCTTTTGTCTTTCTTTTTTACAGTGAAAATTAGGATAAAATCTTTTAGGGTGCCAGAGCTCTTTATTGAAATTGCAGAGACTGCAACTGTTGGTTCATTGAAGGTATGAAAACGATGGATGGATTATTTATCGAATTTACTTCAATACTTCGCATTTGTCGACTGTAAATTGGTTGCTTGGTTATAGACACAATATGATGTAGTTGTATGCTTAGCTGAGATATAGATGCATCTGTGATTTTTGGGCATCATGGTTTCTGATCTTGCTTAACCGTTCTGTAGAGGACCGTTATGGAAGCAGTGACGGCTATACTTGGCGGTGGATTACGTGTCGGTGTTCTTCTTCAGGGGAAGAAGGTTAGAGATGACAATAAAACTTTATTCCAGACTGGAATCTCTCATGACAACCAGCTCGATTCGTTGGGATTTGCCCTTGAGCCTAATCCTTCACGAACGCCTCTTGTGTTGTGCAAAGAAGATTCTCCATGTATTCTTCCATGTGATGCCCCGGAACCACTAACCAGGTAAATGGAACGTGGCGATGTTCCATTACATGTGTTTTTAGTTGTTATCCATATTGTAAAGCTGATAGCAGCTGAAGCTTATCAATGCCATTCGTTAAGGTTGTTTTTTTTTTTTTTTGTTTCGGGTTCGTCGAGGAAAGGGATGTCACTGTACCGTTTCTACTCCACTGTTTCTTTCTTTTTCTTATTTGATCGGGGCAACCGAACCGCCCCAAGTTGGCCAGCTTCGTGGTCAATGGGAACCATCTAGGATTTAATATCGTACGAATTTTCTTGGCAACTAAACTAACTATTATCCCACTAGAATAGTTACTGTTGAAGTGTGTATGAGCTCCTAGACGCTCACGAATTTCATAAAAAAAAAGTCTTTAAAAAAATCGTTAATCGGGTCATTATCATCATTCTGGTGTGATTTTCAGGTATTCACCGGATGCCTCTGCAGATCATCCAGGCAGTAGCAATGTGTTGCCTGAGCCTCATGGAGACTCTTTAGGCAATTTCATTGAAAGTGATCATGATTCAGCCCCCTCTCCGACTGATACGTCAAATCACAAAAGCACGGTGGACTCTAAAGCGCTGGTCACTGTACCAGCAATGACAGCAGAGGCGATTTCTGTGGTTCCCATGCATCGAAAATCGAAGCGGTCCGAGGTTGCGCAGAGGCGAATTCGTAGACCCTTCTCTGTCGCTGAAGTGGAGGCATTAGTTCAAGCTGTTGAGAAACTTGGTACAGGAAGGTATATATTTCACGTACATATCGAAGTAGAAGGGATGTAACAAACTCGTAATTTGCAGATTTGTGATCAACAGTGAAAACATTTACACATAATAGCTTGCGCAAATCGACTCTTGCCGAGGTGGCTAATATCTGTTATTCTGTAGGTGGCGAGACGTTAAACTCCGCGCATTTGACAACGCAAAGCATAGAACTTATGTGGATCTGAAGGTACAGAACCTCTTCTTCATTTCGAAATAATCGAGTTCGATTCACTTTCTTCTTATTTAGTTCACAACTCGGGTCTCGACTTACAAGAACACATGTAGTGCCAAATCTGTAACCATAAGCAAAATACATAGTTGGTCTCTGTCACCCTGGTTGGTGCTTGGATGTTTATATATGAATCATAAGTATTGAAAGTGGAGTGATTTGGCTGTTTGGATTCAGGACAAATGGAAAACACTGGTGCACACAGCGAGAATATCCCCACAGCAAAGACGGGGAGAGCCCGTGCCACAGGAGCTTTTGGACCGAGTCTTGACCGCACACGCGTACTGGTCGAAGCAGCAAGCTAAGTACCAGCTGAAGCGCCAGCCCGAGAGGTTTCTCCTTTGAGTTGGTTGGTTGGTTATATATATATATATAATGGTCGTTGTGACTATTCTTTTTTCCTTCTTTTTGGGGTGGGGGGGTTGGGTTACAAGAAAGGTGTTGTAAAAATTAAAGTTGAGGAAAGGGTGGTTGATATGATATGATGAAGCAATGGAGGGTTATATTTTGGTGTAATATTTGGTGGGTCTGTCCAAAGATTGGTTCTTTTCCTTCATTCATGCAGGGAGAGAGGCTGTTCTTCACAACTTGTATAAATCATTGTTGGAATAAGAGCTTGCTAACGGAATTCGTTTCATTTTCCATTCGATTTTGTAACCTAATTCAATCTAGTTCTTTTACTTTTCTCGATTTCTCGCATACTCGTAGTTTGATGGAAGAATCCCCACACGAGGCCTTCACGAAGGTATACCCGACAGTAAGTCTACTATTAAGATCTGTAACACTAGTTTAGTTTAGCTCGATATTGTAACCTAAGCATTGAAACTTGTCGGACATAGCAACCACACTAAACGAGCTTCTTTTATCAATCACGTCAATCTTTTACTATTCTTATTGAAATTACTTCAAAAAGTAAAATGTCAATCTTTTACTATTCTTATTGAAATTACTTCAAAAAGTAAAATGTTAAATGTATCTGAATGATTGAAACTTCAAATCTAAATTATGATTACCTAGAAACTCGCAAAATAATATCTTTTATCTTACCGATCTAAAGTGTCTTTTAAGTTCTAACATGTTTTTTATTGTTATTGTTTGAATACATCACTTAAACTTTTTAATTTAATATTACTTAATAGACACGTTTTAAAATCTTGACGAAAGGCTCGAAATGGAAAACTCAAAGAAGAAAATACTCAAAGAAGAAAATATCTGCTAACGGTGAGATTGGACTTACAAATGGTATCAGAGCCAGATTTCGGGTGGTGTATCAGCTAGGACGTTGGGCCCTCAAGAAGGGTGGAATGTGAGATCGCACATCAATTGGAGAGGGGAACGAAACACCTCTCCTAGTAGACGTGTTTTAAAAACTGCTAACAGTGGGATTAAGCTATTACAAATTTTTTAATGTTTTCGGTCTATCAAATATAGATAAGCTTACATAACATGATAGTCGATAGTTTGGCTGAAATTTTAATAAGAATCTATGTCACCTAACAAAGAAATAAAAAATGAAATTCGTGCCAACTTCTAAATGAATTAATTCCGGCACCTATGCGTAACTAAATATTATATATATATTATTAAGTAATGAATTAATAGTTTTAATAGCTAATATATTGCATCAAATCAATGCATTTTATTAAAAGAATAAGAATATATTAAAATAAATTGAGATGTTAATAAAACAAATTAATCCATTAAACAATTTAATTTACACATATTAAGACGTGTGGACCACAACCATTCATTTATTGGGGTATGATGATTGGCCAATGATAAAGAAGAAAAAGACAATTAAATCAATAATAATACTTTAAATATATATATATATATATATATCTGTGGTTGCTAGAAAAAATATGTGAAATAAATATATTAAATTAATTAAAATATCTTTAAAATTTTTAATTTATCAAAATAATAAAAAAAATCTCACTTTATTTTCAAAATATCTTTAAATTTTTAATAATATTTCAAAAGTATCCTTAAACTTTAAAAAATTTCATTAATATCATCTAATTTTTTAAAAAAATTTAAAAAAGTCCCTATCATTTGCATGGAGTAACTGAATATTGAAATGTATGTGATTTAAAGACAATATTTTGGAAGAATTCGTGTAAAGTAAGTAACCTAATCATGTTGTTGGGGACATCATGTGGTGAACCGAATTCTGTTCAGTTAATTAATGAGAAAAAATAATAAAAAAATAAAAAAAAAGTAATATATATATATAATATATATATATATACATATAAAGAATTGGTTGTTTTGATAGTAACAAGGCAAAAAATGGCATTATATTACAATAAATAATTAAAAAAAATATGAAAAAATCCACCAATATCTTAAATTTATTTTTAAAAAATCCCATATGCACATAAAATCGTAAAATTGCTATAATAAGAAGTGTCGATTTATTTATTTGGATCATGAGTATAAATTACTCCTTTTTTTTTTATAAAAAATTAATTAATTAATTAATTAAATTATGTGTTATGGTCAACACATTTTGGCCTCACATGATCTAATATTATTTGAAGCGTCATTTTCTTACTCGTTTTTCTACGTGTATAATAAATAAAAAATAAAAACTCGTTTTTCTATGAATATAAAACATATAATAACAAAAATTACTAGATAATACTTTAATATATATATATATATATATATATTTTTAAAAAAAAGTGGAAAATAAGTGGATAAAATTTGAATACAAAAATGTTACCAAATTTAAATTTCATTTATATGGTAAAACTAAATATAATTAATAACTAGTTTTCTTTTAATTTTTAGTGTTATTATAATTTGAGAGCTCAACGACTTTCCTATTTGAGTTTTCTATTTGAGTTGAGTAGAATTAGATATATATATCATAAAGTCAAATAAAAATGTCGGAAGAAAATGATAATTAAAAATAGAAAAATATATTTTAATTTGAACACCATACCATTAGTGTATAATATTAATTTCAAACTATGAATCTTAACACGAAAATAAAAATAAAGGAAAGTTAGGTTTACGAGTGAAATTTTTTTTAATATGCTAAAATTTTATTATAAATAAAATTTATTAGAGATTATTAAAAATAAAATTTTGAAAGTCAGCTATTGCAAAGGTTATAATTAAATTCATATTGATTTATTGTTGAAAAAATATATTTTATTTCTTTTATTTAAAGCCAAAATTATAAAATAGCATTTTTTTTGGAAAAGATGAACAGACTTTAGATGCACGTGAGTTGGACCAGCATTGCGCCGCCCTGAATCTAGAGAATCTAGATAAGCATCTTCCTAAGATTCTAAATTCCATAAAATAACCACTATATTAATTTAATACTTATATTGTTACATAAATTTAGTTTACATTAATTGCGTTTATTATTTTAAGACATTAATACAAAAAACTAATAAAGATTATAGATGAAATAATATTTATTATAAACATAGGGTTAGCAGTTCGAAGCCTAAAAATTATATTAATTTATCATTAATCTTTTCAAATTCCAACACAGCTACGCACGCATTTCGAAAAAAAAGTCCGTGTAATGAAAGTTAATTTTTTAATTAATGTACTTTTGTATCCATTCGTCACAGTTTTGATGGTCCCTTTTCAAACTAGGTCCAAAGAAAAAACAAAATATTATCTCGTCGTTCGTCAAAAAGGTCTTTATGACTTCCTTCTCAGAGCTATAGTGACTATGTAAAAGACAAGAACATAAATGAACCGAGACCACGTCTAAATGAGAACAATCGTGAGTATACTATTTATATCAATAAAATATATTTTTTTTATTCGGTCTCTTAATCATATGAGCTCAAAAATTAAATATACTTCGCTTGGAGTTATCATATACTGCGTGATATGAAAATGTCGACATTATCATGTGCCAAATTCAATCATAATGTATACAGTAAAAAAAAAAAAAAAATAATAATAATAATAATAATAAACTTTAAAATGTTTTATATTACTAAGAATTTTATTAATTATTATTTTGAGAATTCCATCCATTATTATTAAATAATCCAATAATTAATTTCCATCCATGTGTTATATTATATTCCCAATTAAAAATCAAATAATGACAAAAAAAAAAGGGGGGGGGGGGGGG